GACAAATATTGTATTAGTCTGTTATTGTAAAAGTCAAGGAAAGGTTTAGATATGGAAGGAAATTCTCTATGTTGGTTACCAGGGATGGGAGAGCATGGTACGGAACACAGTTACATAGGTGGAGATAAGTATTGATTTGGGTGAAGAGAAGGGCAATGTACAAAATATGAGGGATCAACATGGTGGCACTGAGGAAGATGAAGACATGGAAAGGTACATGGGAAGTACAGACAACAAAGATGAATCCTTCTGCACATACAGTACTGCGTTGTCAGTGATGGCAAACATTGATACACGAGTAGATAGATGGGTGGACAGGCTGAACTATTAGGTATATCTATGCAAGGGGGAGCGTGACCATGACCATGTACAGGGTTGGTAGACAATGTTTGTACAAGTGTATTTGTATGTTCGATAAGAATTCCCAGGTATATAGTACAGCTGACAAGGAACAAGGTTGTAGTCACTTCTTGGCCACAACCAGTTACCCAGAGGGAGCAAGAAGTTGGACCTGTGTGCCTGGGACCATAGTCCCAGGGGACATCAAGCTCAATTGGCATAACATACTATACAAAAACATTGCTCCACATCCTACTTTGGAGAGTAGCAACTGGGATCTTAAAAACTTGCAAGCAGCCATCTAGATGCAACGATGGATCTCTCCTTGTTCAAAGCAAAGAAGAATGAAGAAAACCAAAGACTCATGGAAACAATTAGTCCTAGTGACAGGTACACCATGAGATCCTCAGCCTATACAACCATGAAACCAGAACTAGATGGTGCCTGGTTACCACTGTCAACCACTCGGAGGGGGAATCTATGTAGGAGATCCTGGATAGAGTAGGAAAACAATGTGGAACAAAACTCAAAATCATAAAAAAAAAAAAAAAAAAAAGACCAGGTTTTCTGGTCTGATAGAGCCTGATGGGACAACTGATACTATGGCCCCTAGCCGCCCTTCAAGTCTGGAACTGAACCCACACTTATGGCTTCCAGTCAAACAAAAGACAGGCATAGGAGCTGAACATTTACATTAGGTAAATACACTCCTTGGAGAGAACAATCATGGGAAAATAGAAGGGCTCTATATGCACAGGGAGACAGCTCAGGGGGCAGAACTGCATGGAGGGATGGACACAGGGAAGAGGTAACCAAGGGGAGGAAGCGGGAGGGGAGCTGTCACATTGTGGGAAATTGCAGTCAATGTCATGAGACAAACTCTATGTGAGCTGCTGTATGGAAAGTGAATTTGCTCTGTAAACTTTCACCCAAATCACAATTAAAAAAAAAAAAATCGTAAGACACCTTACTCTGCTGTCCAGATACATATTCATTAATCACTTGACTAAATATGACTAAATTCAGAAAGAGAATCTTAAAGTCAGTCAATTTCATTAGAATTACATTTCATTTTCTCACCCCATAAAATAGCTATCCCTAGAAAAAAAGTAAAAGTTGCGAAGTATTGCATGGGCGTTCATCTCCCCCACTTCATCTTCCAGGTCCCTGAACAGCAGGGGACACAAGGGCACTTTACCTGGAATGTAATCATGTCATCAACCTCAACTCTGCTGACAAAATTAAAGGAGTGTGTACTGGGGTGAGGGGGCTCCCCATGGCATCACCATCCAAAAAGGGAACTGTGAATACCCTTGTTTTCATCATTTTTTAGAAAGATTTTCAAGTTCATCTTTATAGATAGGGTAGAGTCCTTTATTTAATAGACAGTCACATAGAAATACCATTTTTTTTCCCACTAAAAAAGATACTCTTATTCTATCGCAGATGTGAATTTGCCTGTGTGAGTTCAGAGAGCAACCACCATGGTTGTGCAGAAAGTGGGATGAACACCCCTGTCTAATAACAAAATTCATATGTTCATATTCCCTGAATACTGAAAACGGTAGAAGAAAAGTAAAATTTTAGATGAAAAAAAAGGGAGCATGTAGTATTTAGATAATGAAGTGACTTACCTAAAAGGTTTAATAAAACTCACTCACTGCCCTCGAGTCGGATCCGACTCATAGCGACCCCTCCTTGGGTTTCCAAGGCAGTATCACTATGGAAGTACATTACCTAATCTTCCTTCCAAGGAGTGGCTGGTGGGTTTGAACTGCCAGCCTTCTGGTTAGTAGTCAAATGCCTTAGGCACTATTACAAAACTACAAACACATCAGTAAATAATTACAAATGACCCAGAGGTAGAAACATTAATACTGTTGAGGCTCAAATGTCGAAATTATTTTTGAAAACAGTTTTTTCAATCATCTAACATAAGCCTCTCCTCATAACCATGTACACCATTCAGAGAGATCCATCAGACGCACATGTTGTTGGGTGACATCGAGTCGATTCTGACTCATAACAATCCTACAGGACAGAGTAGAACTGCCCTAATGGATTTCCATGGTTGTAATCTTGTAATCTTTCCCCGAGTAGATCCCCGGGTCTTTTCTCTCCCGGAGCGGCTGGTGGATTCAAACTGGCCACCTTTCGGTTAGCAGCCCAGTGCTTTAACCATTGTGCTCTTTCAGACGCTCATAATCAGCTTTAAAAACAAGACTCTAGGGATGCCAAACCAAACCCAATCCATTGCCTCGAGTCGATTACAATTCATAGCAAGTCAATAGTAAGAATGACAGCGCTTCCCTTTGTGAAAAAAAGGAAGATATTGGATAGGCCTCCTTAGGAAAATTAGAGATTGTGAGAATATAATGACACGGCTGAAATCTATGCTTTATCTAAGGAGGGGCTATCGGCTTTTTCCAAAAGAGAAAGTATTTGGAACATAAATCATATTCTCAGGAAAGTCAGAATTGTGTGAACAGGCAAAAGGCGAGGAGAGTTAGAGCCGACCCTCAGGCAAAGCTACCTAGAGAAGCAGCCTTGGTCAGAACGGGAAAAGGCCGGAGACGAATTGGCAGAATCTGGAGAACAAGAGGAAATAAAGAGCGTGTCGCCGGCGGCCAAACTCCTCCAAGAGGGCCCTTATTTCTGATTAACTGCTCATCTCAAGCTAGGCGCCCAATACACAGATGGAAGGGAGAACAGCTGTTCTATCAGTGTATTGTCTCTGAGCGACAGAGAGATTCCTAACACACCTCGTAGCTCAGTAAAGCCTCCGCCTTTCACACTCAACAGGGAACCTTCCAAGTAACCGGCGGCAGCTGTCCTTTTGCAACTGTGTTTGGGGGCAAAGACAGAGTCACGAAGCAGAAGCTCCTTACTTACCTTTGCAACCGGGAGCCATGCCACTCTCACTCCCAGATCCGCTCTGGATATCAAAGCGGCCTCCGCCTCCGCCTCCGCGAGCGCCGCGCGGCGGGATTCCTTCAGCTCAGTCAAGATGGCCACGAATTTAAATTTGGCGCTCGGGTCGGACGTTGACGCTAATACTGAGACTGCCTCTTGGCCCGGCCTCCGCTGTAGGGGGCGGTACTTGTGTGACGACATGGTAAAGCGCCGTCTAGTCTAAATGTCTTGAGCCCAAGTTGGGAGTTTGTTTTCCCTCCTGAGCAGCCATGAGCAAGCGCAATCAGGTGTCCTACGTGCGGCCAGCAGAGCCAGCCTTCCTATCCCGTTTTAAGGCGCGAGTCGGCTACAGGGAAGGTCCCACCTTAGAGACCAAGGTGAGCCCGAACCAACCGCGTTACTTCCTGCTTCTGCCTTTACTTGGAACTCTGGCACTGACTCTCACCCACCCCGGCCCCCAAAGTTGTTTTCAAAGATTCGTAGTCAGGTGGTTTTCAGAGCGCTGCTGTGTTTTTAAAAATGATCTGACATAGGTAAAACGTCTGGTCCTTAATAGATTGGTACTGTAGTCACTTGTTTATCTCAGAACCTCTGAGGTAGGGTGGATAGTGGCGTCGTCCCCGTTTTTTCATATAAGGAAACTTGAAGCCACTTGATGTCCTAGACTTAGGTAGAGCGTTTTGGGAGGAAGGCCCTGGATCTGGCGTTGTGCTTTATTACCAAAATTTAAGCCTGAGGAAGAGTAGATATGAATCAAACCCTGTTTATACAGAAAAGAACTTAAGGAATGAACCACACTTGATTAGTTTAGGCGTGGGGATTAGTGGGAATCAGTTTCTGAACCCTCGAAGACTTCCGCCCTAACAGGTTCACATCAAAACCTGCCCTAAGTCTTCCATTATGCTTAGGGGATATATGGAGAAATAATTTATTTTATGCTCTCTGTCTAGCACTTACACTAGGATCCAGCCTTCAAGTTCCTTGAAGCATAGTAAAGACAAAGAGTAAGTCACTTGGAATTATTCAACCCAGTGAGTGTATGCTAAACCAAGGTATTTTGTCAGGACAAAGGGTCTCCAAAATGCCATATTTTTTAAGACTTTCCTGCCCAGTCTCTTCTCTACTTTCACAGGTTGCCACCTGAAGCCCTTGGAATCTACCCCCAGACAGTAGTTACTCCTTCTCTGTTCTCTTTGCTTTTGCCGATATCTTATCTATAATACTTATTATTGTGCATTACAGCTACTTGCTTTTCTGTTTATCTCTACTAGATCAAACTCTCTAAGTTATTACCTTAACCCTCTCTTATTTTCCAACACAAAGAATAGTGTTTGGCACAAAGTAGTATGTGATTGGTTATATTGGATAGCTGTGCTTGTAGGAGTTCTGCTGGCATAGTGCCTAAGGCATTTGACTGCTAACCAGAAGACTGGTGGTTCAAACCCTCTAGCCACTTCTCGGAAGGAAGATGGGGCAGTCTACTTCCTTAGTGATACTGCCTTGGAAACCCAAGGAGAGGTCTCTATGACTTGACAGCAGTGAGTTTTGGTTTTGGTTTTGATGCTTGTAAGGCAAGGCTTCATGGAGGAGGGAATATTTAGATTGAATTTTGAGCATAGATAGGTCAGCAGGTAGAAATGGGAATAGCATGGTTGGAGTATTTTAAAATACTCCAAAAATACTCATGATGATGAGTCATGGACTGCATTTAGAGGTGATAAAGGAATAATGGGAATGATATGTGGTATGCTTTATCATATATTCTTTATTATCCTAAACATTTATTACATTGTATTGTTCAGTAGGCAATAAAGAACCATTTTTGAGTGATGATAACATGATCAGGAAGTGACTGATCCCCAGTATCAAAAAGAGTGATGATGCCAAATAAAATGTTTATGAAAACAAGGCATAGATTGAGCAGTGAGAACATATGACCTAACTTTACAGTTTGCTTTTGGTCCTAGTGATGATCATTGTTATAGTTAAGGTTGTGTGTTAACTTGGCTGGGCTGTGAGATTCTCAGTGGTTTTAGTAGTTATGATGTAGTCAGTCCCCCGTGATGAGATCTGATATAATATAATCAGCTCCATAATGAGATCTGCTATGAGCAGCCAATCAGTCGAAAGGGAGTTTCCTCAGGGGTGTGGCCCACTTCCAATATATATGGACATCCTGGCAAAGCTCTCTGGCTTTTTCCTTGATCTGGACCCAGCATCTGGCTCTCATCATTTGACTGCAGGTTCTTGGACTTGAACCAGTGACCTGCTATATTGCCTACCAATCTTGGGATGGTTGCCTTCGCAGCCTGTCAGCTAACAGCCTACATTTTACCTGCCAATCATGGATTCATAAGCCTCCGCAGGCAGAAGCTTACTATATTGCCTGTTCTTGTTGGGTTGGTCAACCCCTGCAACTATGTGAGTCAGGAGAAGCCTCCAGCCTGATGTCTGACCCATGGACTTCCCACTTGCCACTTGCCAGGCTCTACAACTGCATGAGCCACTTCCTTGAGATAAATTTCTCTCTCTCTCTCTCTCTCTCTCTGTGTGTATGTATGTATGTATGTGTGTGTATATATATATACACACTTCCCTGCTAACCAGACGGCTGGCGGTTCAAACCCACCAGCCACTCCTCGAAAGGAAGGTTGGGCAATCCTACTTCTGTAGTGATACTGCCTCGGAAACCCAAGGAGGGGTCGCTTTGAGTTGGGTTTGACTCGACGGCACATAACAACAACAACGTATATATATATATATTTTTTATTATTATTATTTTTAATGGTTTTGCTTTTCTAGAGATCCCAGCCTAAGGTAATTTGTACCCACAGTTAACACCTTAAAGATTACAGCTTGGAATGCTATCTTGGGAGCACACGGGGGGGAAATATTTTCCAGTCAATATCAGTGATTTGGGTTTACTAATTTGATCAATAGGTTTTTCTTTAGAGAAGTACCCATATTCCTGTATTTGAGAGACCAACTTCAATCTTAATCAGTTTGATTATATAATTAGCATTCTAGTAAACTGTTAACAAAAAGAAAAGTGGTTTGTGGGAATTGTTTGAGGTAAATCATCTTACCTTCTTGAGAATTAATTCAGGAGTACTTTAAACAGTCTTCAGTGACTCTTACCACTGTTACTTAGACTATTTTTCTTGCTTGTTTGGTTTAGAAAGAAAAATGAGCATCAAAATTATGATTCTCAGTGTAATGAACACCAAGAATGACTTTTTTTTTTTTTTTCACTTTTCCGTTTCCTTGGCCAAAAATACTAATTACTTCTTTGTGGTCATTTAGTGGAAACTTTCGAAGAAAAATAGGCAGAAACTGATGAATAATTAGTGAGTTAACATGGATATCATTAAAGACCACTATTTGTCAGTTTGTTACACTGGGGTGCCTTATTGTATTGCTACAATGCGGTAACCTCTGCTAGTGGTATTTCAAATACTAGCGAGGTCACCAGTGATGGACAGGTTTCAGTGGAACTTCCAGACTGCAACAGGCTAGGAAGAAAGGCTTAGGAGCAGCCATCTAAGGTGCAACTATTGATCTCTCCCTGTCTGGAGCAAAGAAGAGTGAAGAAAATCAAAGACACAAGGAAACAGTTGATCCAAAGGACTAATGGATCACATAAACCTCAGCCTCCATGACTGAGAGACCAAAAGAAATAGATGGGGCTGGGCTACCACTGGTGACCACTCTGAAAGGGATCACATTAGGAAGTCCTGGATAGAGTGGGAGAAATACATAGAACAAAATTCAAAATAATAAAGAAGTCCAGGCTTACTTGTCTAATAGAGACTGGTGGAACCCCTAAGACTTTAGACAGCCTTCAGGTCTGGAAATGAACTCATCCCTGTGGCTCAACTTTCAGCCAAATGATAGACAAGCCCTAAAGTGAACAATAACACCTGGGAGGTACACACTCCTTAGAACAGTCAACTATACTATGAAATCAAAGAGAGTACCATTTGCCTAGGGATGAAGCTAAGAAGGCAGAAGGGATAGGATAGAAGGATGAATGGAAATGGTAAACACACAGAGGAGGTGGGAAGGGTGCTGTTGTTACATTCTGGGGGTTATAGTCAGTGTCACAAAACAAAATGTATGCATTGTTGAGTGGAAAACCAATTTGCTCTGTAAACTTTGACCCAAATCACAGTAGAAAAAGAAAGGCATAGCAATCTACTTCTGAAAATCAGCCAATGAAAACCTTATGGATCACAACAGAACATTGTTCAACTCATTTGCTTTGGACATGTGATCAGGAGGGATCAATTGCTAGAGGAAGACATCATGTTTGGTGAAGTAGAGGTCCAGCAAGGGTGAGGAAGACCTTCAGTGAGATGGGTTTACACAATGGCCACAATGATGTACTCAAACATGCTCATGATTATAAAGATGATGCAGGACTAGGCATGTTTTGTTCTGTTGTAGGAAACAGAAGGTCTCCATGAAATGCACAGTATGTGCAACAGTAATGCACAACATTAAAGAGAGTGCACTTGTGGAGTGATCAAGTAGACTTGCAGATTTAGGGTATAGACAAAATGGGTGGATGTGCTTGTGAGTGGTTTGCCAGGGCTTTAGATAGTTTGTCACTATTGGTCCTTTGTGAATAGAGCAACAAATATTTCTTGCATTTCTGCTGTGTACCAGGCTCCCCTCTTGAAGGAGCTCACCTGGTGGAGACTTAGGAAAACATTTGTAATACAGTGTGGTATATCTCATCTAGGAGCTATGCACAGTGTGAAAAAGGAGGTGAAGCTTTGAGAGCATTTCTAGAGGATCTCAGTCTTGAAGGCAGCTTATATAGGAGTTGGCCAGGGGCAGGGGGCCAGTCTCGGCGCTGGAGCTTGTACAGAGATAGGGGAAAAAAGATGCTGATACTGATGTGGATAGCCAAGAAATAAAATCTGGTTGGAATCTAGAGTCCATGAGACAGTGGCTGTGCTTGTAGGCTGGAGCTGGATTATGCAGAGCTTTGTTGGCCTGTACAGAAGACAAAGAAGGCTCTGTGAAAGGTGAAGTTAATGGAAGCTATTGGAATAATGTTTGAAAACACATTTTTGGTTTGCATGCCTTTCAACCCAGGAGTTTCACTTCCAAGAATTTATCTTACATATGAGTTCACAAAAGTGAACAAAAAAACATGTTCAAAAATTGTTCATAACAGGAAAAGACGAGAAACAACTAAATTTTTTGTTTATGCGGCAAATAAGGAGCCTTGGTAGCACAGTGGTAAAGCGCTTGGCTATGAACTGAAATGTCACCAGTTCAAACTCACCAGCTGCTCTGTAGGAGGAAGATGTGGCAGTCTGCTTCTGTAAAGATCTATAGCCTTGGTAACCCTCTGTGCCATTCTATGCTGTCCTTTAGGGTCCCTATTAGTTAGAATCAACTAGATGGCAGTGGGTTTGGTGGGTTTTGGTGTAGGGGACAGATAAGGAATCCTCATGATGCAGTGGTTAAAGCACTTGGCTGCTAACCAAAAGTTGGGGAGTTTAAACCCACCAATTGCTCCACAGGAGAAAGATGTGGCAGTCTGCTTCCATAAAGATTACAGCCTTAGAAACCCTATGGGCAATTCTTCTCTGACGAATACGGTTGCTATGAGTCAGAATCAACTGTACAGCAATGTGTTTGGTTTGGGTAGACAAATAAATCATGATATAACCATATAATTAAATACCAGACAGTGTCTTTTATTATTATTATTATTGTGATTTGAGTGAAAGTCTACAGAGCAAATTCACTTTCCATATAGCAGTTCACATACACATTGTCTTAAGACATTGACTGCAATTTCCCACAATGCAACAGCTCTCCTCCCACTTCCTCCCCATAGTTACCTCTTCCCTTTGTCCATCCCTCCATACACTCCTGCCCCCTGAGCTGTCTCCTTGTGCATACACAGCCCTTCTATTCTCCTATGATTGATCTCTCCAAGGGGTGTATCTACCCTAGTGTAAATGTTCAGCTCCTATGCCTATCTTTTGTTTGGCTGGAAGCCACAGGACTGGGTTCAATTCCAGACCTGAAGGGCAGCTGGGGTCCATAGTGTCAGTGGTTCCACCAGGCTCTATCAGACCAGCAAACCTGGTCCCTTTTTATTTTTTTTTTAAATGATTTTGAGTTTTGTTGCACATTGTTCTCCCACTCTATCCAGAATCTCCTGTGTAAATGCCCCTCCTGAGTGATTGACAGTGGTAACCGGGCACCATGTAGTTCTTCTGCAAACAGTGTTTTTTAAAAATCAGATTATTCTGTATGTATCTCAAAGCGTATGATAAGATTATTTGTAAGTAAAAGTTGGGAACTGGGGCTTTTATGGTATCTACCTTTTAAAAAAAAAAAAAATCTGAATCAACTGGCAGATTTACCATTTGTTACATATGTATAGTAAGTCCATGGTTTCTGTTATTTTCTATACTTTTTTATATTTGAGAAATTTCATAATATAAACTAATAAGGGAAAAAGGAGAGAAAGCTACTCACCAATTAGTCTCCTATTTGTATACAAATCAAACTCTATGCCTACATGTTTGTATACTTGTAGAAGACAGCTGAAGGGATAAGGGATACCCCCCAAACTGGGGCTGCTGAATGGGAGAAGGGATGAGCAGAGGTGGGAAAAAAAGTACCTTTTACTTGCTCCTGTTTATTATTTTTTTAAAATATATTTTATTGAAATGTAATTTATGTACACTGAAATACACAAAACTAAAGTGACATGGGTCAATGCTTTTTTTTTTTTTTTTTCGCTGTGTTCCTTCCCCTTCTACCCCAGTAACCAAAAAAGAATGTTTTCTTCCATGTATAAACCTTTCCTTGACTTTTTATAATAATGAACTAATACTATATTTGTCCTTCTGTGATTGACTTATTTCACTCAGCATAATGTCCTCCAAGTTCATCCATGTTGTATAGTGTTTTGCAGATTCTACATTATTCTGTAGTGTTGCATAGTATACCATTGTGTGTATGTACCATAGTTTGGTTATCCATTCTCCTACTGATGGACGCCTAGGTTGTTTCCATCTTATTGCAGTTGTGAATAGTGCAGCGATGAACATGGGTGTGCATATATCTGTTCTTGTCCTGGCTCTCACTTCTGTAGGATATATACCTAGTAATGGGATTGCTAGGTCAAATGGTATTTTTAATTCCAGCTTTTTAAGGAATTGCCATACTGCTTTCCACAGTGGTTGTATCATTTGAAAGTCCCACCAGCAGTGTATGAGAGTCCCAATCTTTCCACATCCTGGCCAGCATTTGTTATTTTCTGTCTTGTTGAACTTTGCCATTAGTGGTGGGGTGAGATGGTATCTCGTTGTTGTTTTGATTTGCATCTGTGTAATGGTGAATGATTGTGAACATTTCTTCATGTATTTGCTGGCCACCTGAATCCTCTTTGGTGAAATGTCTATTCTTGTTTTCTGCCCATTTTTAAATTGGATTGTTAATCTTTTTGTTGTTGAGGTGTTGGAGTTTACTATAAATTTTAGAGATAAGTCACTTGTCAAATATGTCATTGCCAAATATTTTTTCCCAGTCTGTAGGTTCTCTTTTTACTCTTTGGGAGAAGTCTTTGGAAGCACATAAAATTTTAATTTTTAGAAGGTCTAGTTTTTCTCCTCGGAAGGAAGATGGGCAATCTACTTCCGTAGTGATACTGCCTTGGAAACCCAACGAGGGGTCGCTATGAGTCGGGTCCGACTCGACGGCACATAACAACAACAACAGTTTATCTTCAGCTGTTTGTGCATTTTGGGTTATGCTTGACAGTCTATTTATGCCATAAATGAGGGCCCCTAAATTTGCCGCTATTTTTTCCTTGAGGAACTTTCTAATTTTAGGTTTCACATTTAAATCTTTGATCCATCTGGAGTTAGTTTTTGTGTATGATGTGAGGTATGGATCTTGTTTCATTTTTCTGCAAATGGATATACAGTTTTGCCAGCATGTTTGGCTATTTTTTGTCAAACTCTAAGAAGAGATGGAGGTGAAAGGTTGATGAGCAAGGAGGAGGGACATGGTTCAGTGCTGCTCCAGACTAGGAATGACAAAAGTCCATAAAGCAGAAGGTCCCCACACTAGAACTTGAAAGCTGGGGTCCTTCTTAGTTGGAAATGAATCTACTGGATGATACCCATGATGATTGACAGTGGGCCTGCTCCCTCATATGGGGGAGCTCTTTGGAGGTACTTGAAAATTCACTGCTGAACACATATTTATTCAGTTATCTCTCTCACTTGCATCATTGCAGTTTCTCACAGAGCCAGTGGGTTGTGTTTGGGTCAAGGTCAGCAACCTACAGTCTGTGTTTTTGCTTTCTAATAGAGAATCCAGCCTCAGCTCCCAGAAGAAGATGGTGATCACAGTGACAAAGATGATGAACAGCCCCAAGTGGTGGTTTTAAGAAAAGGAGACTTGTCTGTTGAAGAAGTCATGAAAATTAAAGCAGAGATAAAGGCAGCCAAAGAGGGTATGTCTGAAAGAAGTCTGGTTTTTCTAACAATGTCAGGACCCTGGGCTATGAACTGGCTTTCTTTATGAGTGATCTGGTGTGTTAGGAGCACACGATTTGAAGGGGACAGTCCTAGGTTTAAACTTTGACTTTGACACTTAGTAGATTAAATGTGTGACCCTAAGCAAGTTATTTCACCTTAGCTTTAATTTCCTCATCATGAAAATGGGGGCAATCATTGTATTACTTTGTTGGATGGTTAGGAGAATCAAGTGTGAATTAAATTTTTCTAAAATAAGGTGGTTTGATTGAGGATGAGAAAGATACAGAGAGGTACATGGGAAGTACAGACAACAAATATGAACCCTTTTGCATATACAGTACTGAGTTGTCAGTGAAGGCAAACAGGGGTATATGGACGGATAGATAGGTGGACAGGCTAAACAATTAGGTATGTCTAAATGGGGAGTGTATCCAAGATCATATATAGGGTTGGCAGACAATGGTCCTATAAGTTTATGTGAGTGATCAGAATTCCCAGGTGTATAGTAGAGCTGACAAGGGGCAAGGTTATGGTCATTGCTTGGTCACAGCCAGCTACCCAGAGGGACCGAGTAGTTGATCCTGCGGGCTTGGGACCATAGTCGCAGGGGACATCAAGCTCAATTGGCATAACATACTATACAAAACATTGTTCCACCTACTACTTTGGCGAGTAGCGACTGGGATCTTAAAAGCTAGCAAGCTGCCATCTAGATGCAACAATGGGTGTCTCCTCGTCAAGAAGAAAGAAGAAAACCAAAATGAATGGAAACAATCAGTCCTAGTGACTGGTACACCATCCGATCTGCAACCTATACAACTATGAGACCAGAAGAACTAGATGGTGCCCAACTACCACTGTCATCCACTTGGAAGGGATGTACGAGATCCTGCGTAGAGAGGGAGAACAGTGTGGAACAAAACTCAAAATCATTTGGAGGCAAAAAAAAAAAAAAGAAGGTGGGGACCAGGTTTGCTGGTCGAATAGAGCCTGGTGAAACCACTGAGACTGTGGCCCCTAGCTGCCCTTCAGGTCTGGAATTGAACCTATACCTTTGGTTTCCAGCCAAACAAAGTACAGGCAAGTGAGTTAAACATTTATCTCAAGTAGACACACACCCTGGAGAGAACAATCATGGGAGAAGGAAGGGCTGCTTATGCACAGGGAGACAGCTCAGGGCGCAGAAGAGTATGGAGGGATGGACACTGGGAAGAGGTAACTATGGGGAGGAAGTGGGAGGGGAGCTGTTGCATTGTAAATTTTGGTCAATGACATGAGACAAAGTATATGTGAACTGCTGTATGAAAAGTGAATTTACTTTGTAAATCTTCACCCAAATCAAAATAAAATTAAAAAAATAAAAAATAAATAAGGTGGTTTGATTTACAAACCAGTCAACAAAGATCTGTTTAATTCATGTCTAAGGTATGTTTTTTTAATTATTTCTAAACATTTATCACATTGTTTTAGGCAGAAATGCTGGAGTTCCAAACAGTCATTTTTCAGAGTACTTACAAAGTACAACCTAATTATAATTAACTGGCACTGACAAATTATGGAATACTTCACTGAGTCTTTATTGAGTGACTGCATATCTTTTGGGCATATAGCTAGAGGCAATAGAGAAGACCAGACCAAATTAACTCTGAGATAGCCTTAATACGGTATGAGATTTTCTTGTTATTTGACTGTCCTATAAAGGCAAAATACACATAAAGGGAAGGAGTACCTGCGTGGTACAGGTAATGCACTCAGCTACTAACCAGTAAGTTGGAGCTTGAGATCTCTCAGAGGTACCTCGGAAGAAAGGCCTGGTGATCTACTTCTGAAAAAAAAATCAGCCGTTGAAAACCCTGTGGAGTACAGTTCTACTCTGATACACGTGGGTCGTCTTGAAGTGGAATCAACTTGTCAACAAATGGCTTTAAAAGGCAAAATGATGCAGAGGGAAGAAAGTTCTTTAATTTTGTTTTTGCTCCAGATGAAGAGCCAGTTCCAGCCGATGGAAGAATCATGTATCGAAAACCAGTCAAGCGTCCCTCTGATGAAAAATATTCAGGATTAACAGCAAGTTCAAAAAAGAAGAAGACAAATGAAGATGAAATAAATAAGCAGGACTCATTTAAAAAGAACTCACAAAAGCAAATTAAAAATAGTAGCCTCCTGTCTTTTGGCAATGAAGATGAAAATGAATAATTGTACTTTTTTTTATTTAGTCTCCTTTGAGAGTTTATGGGATGTTTTTTAAAATAAAATTTTTTCTATTAGAAAAGTAATACACGTTCATTATAGAAAATACGACACAAATTTAATAAGATTAAAACTATGTTGACGCAGCAATACTCAGATATGATATGCCAACCATATAGAAATTAACGACTATTAATGTTTGGTTATTTTCTGTGTGTGGGTTTGTGTATGGAAATTATATTTAGTAAAACAAAATTGAGGTTGTATATGTTCTTTGTCTAGTTTCTCACTTAACATTATATTAAAAGCATTTGCCCAAGTCAGTAAAATTCAAAAACCTGACATTAATAACTTCGGGGGATTTCATAATTCAATGGATCACCTCTTGCATCTTCCTCATTAGTAGAACCCCACTTTAGATGGGAAGGATGATCATGGGCCTAGTTAAAAATACCTCCCCATCTTCTGTAAGGGGTGGTCATATGACTCGGCTCTGGGGAGTTAAGAGATACAAACTGACAAAACTACTGGTCTTTTGATATAAAATGACAGGCTTGGCAACCATGAACATTTATCCTTCTCCCTTCATCCTGCCTGGAGCCATTCTCAGGCTTAGGGAAGGTGGCCACATGCTCTGGCTGGTACAGTGGGAAGACTCGAGCAGCTTGAGTCCCTAAGGCCTCATGCGGCTGCTGCACCAGCTGTGGACTTCTGACCTCTGGACCTCTTGATGCATGAGCAGAATAATCACCCTTATGTACAAGGTACAAGAATAGATCAGCAATAGTATGTTACCCTGCTTACTTAAACCTTTGTCAGGTTTCTGTTACTTGCAGCCAAATGCAGTCCTAAGTGATATGGTAAAAAAACTAGTAAAATAGTTCTGAAATGCTTGTTTAGGCTATATCTATTCTTGCACAAATACCACACAATTTTAGTTGCTTTAAATTTTATGTCATAGTATCTGAAAGTGGGAGTCTTGAGGGCAGGGACTTTGTTTCATTAACTGCTGTATACTCAGTACCCAGAATAGTACTTGGTACATTAAGTATACAATGAATATAGTTAGAAGGAATGAATGTTTCTCTAAAGCTTTTCTTTTTATAGACCTTTTGAGGGTTGTGGCACATAGCCTTCTATACTTGACATTGCCCTCCTGATCTTACCCCCTTGTAGGACAAAGAACTTGCTGTGGCCCTTTGACTCTGGTTTCTGAAAATAACATGAGCAATCAAGATGTTTGTTTTCCAAAATAGCCCAACAAGTAGGAGCTACACAGACCCCGTACCTGTTGAACTAACTTCAGGAAAGGGGGACCTAATGTAGCCACGTATATTCATTGATTGTATTGATCATAACTGCATGAAGGCCTGAATTATGTATATTCATTGAATTCCCAATAACTAGGGAATTGAGGCTGTGGAACACTCTCTTTGTGGTCTCCTGGTTCAGTGAGAACATCCACGCACAGGAGAGGGAGCAGTACATCTCTGGGGACAATGGAGGCCCCATTCTGGGAACTTGCCTGATAAGTCTCTTCGTTTGTATCCTTTCTGGTTATAATAAATGGGTAAATGTAAGTATAGATAACAATCTCTGTGAATTTTGTGAGATTATAGAGAATTGACAAACTCAGGGGCAACAAGCTAGCAGAGGCTGGGACTGCAGAGTCGATTTCTGTAGACCCAGCTCTGGGTGGCTGGATCTTAGGAACAGGCTGTGTGGGCAGTTGATGAAGAAAGATAAAGTCCTTCTACCTTGAGACCTAGTCCCAAGGGACTAGGGGGAGAGAGGGAGAGAGAGACTGACTAACCAGCTGGTCTGAAGTACAGGGAGTTGTAGAGGCCCTTATGACCTGGCCTCAGGTAGCCAGGGATGTTTTGACCCAGCTCAGAATAGCCAGGGATGGGGTCTGAGGTCCAATACTAACTCTGGATAGTTAGTGTCAGAGAGAGGAATTGCCACGAAAGTGGCTGACAGTGAAGAGTAGAAGTATGAGAAGATGAAGTCTGGATCCACTTCCAGCTGGGTATTGTATTCATGCTGATCCTTGTCAGTGATATAGTTGGGGTTTTCCCACTTTGCCCCTTAAATAGCACAGTTTGTAGGCTCGCAGTCTTCACATGCCACCAGACCTTAAAAAGAGCATACGTCCTATAATGAATTTCTGTTCAATTACCCCATAATAATCCTGGGGCCAGGAGACAGAGCAAAACGATCTTCCAGATGAAGCTACCACCTTAACCCTGCACACGATTGCATATAGCCTCCTCCCCCACACATAGAATTTGCGTATTGAAACTAATTCATGCATTCTCTTATTGTTCTTCCTCCAGATATCTTACTCTGGTACCTTAATCTAATACCACGTGGTAGCAACCCCAAGATGAACCATCATCTGGGAGTTGTGGGGAGCCTCAGCAAAGATGAGAATTGTCTCTGTCCTTAGGATTCTGAAGAATTCATAGGAGCTACCTTACCTCCTCTTTAATCCCTGGAACCCCAGGATGACCAGTCTACCACTTCCTCAAGGGAAGAAGGGTCTTTGGTATGAGGTATAGCACACACACTCAACTACCTACCACACCCTCAGTTCCCATCTTGGGAATCCTAGTGGAGAGTAAACCAAACCAAACCCATTGCCATCAAGTGGATTCTGACTCATGGCTACCATATAGGACAGAGTAGTAATGACCCATTGGGTTTCAAGGAGAGCCCAGTCGTAGCCTGGAAAACTGACCCTTCCCTTCTGTACAAGTCCCATTCCTAGATTCCTACCTGGGACATTGTTGAAGTCAGACAGACTGGTCCTATAACATATTCTTCCCTGTCTCCTAGCCTCCTTGCCCAGTTTCATCTCCAGATTCAGCATCTCTCCAGGAACCCCTCCTTGATCAGTTTTCCTTACCTCACCTTGTTTCCTAGAGACCCAACTATGTGCACCAGCTGTGTTCCATTCCCTAGGGGCCAATTTGCCCCTGTGACCATCAGCCCCAATTCCTGGACTTGCTGCTACCTGCTGAAGGGACCCAGAAGTTGAAGGGAATGTCCTGAGGTTGCTTCTGCCACGTTGGCTTCTTCAAGCTGAGTTGCTGCATCTAATGGTCACAAGTCAGATGCTTATACACACTGACTTCCTCCAACATCATTGCTACAGCTCCCACCAGAGCCTCTCCCAGAGAAGTTCAGGGCAACCTGTTCTTCCTTTCTTCTGTGGACTTGGGTTCAGATACCAACAAGGCTCTTTATCAGTTGTGTGGACTTAACTTATAACTAAATCCTAATAACTTAATACTCAGTTTCCTCAGTAGTAAAATAAGGACCATAACTCTTACCCAGTGGTGGTGAAGATCAGAAGATACACCTATGTAAAAGGCTTATTTACACAATTCCTGTATGTAAAAATTGCTCAGTAAATTATAACATTATTATTTCCTCTGAATGTGTGCTTGGGCACAGGCTTCTGATGGTTTCTTGAAGTTCTGTGCAAAATGCAAGCAGGACTTCCAGTGTCAGTTTTCAGTCAAAATCTCAAGGCCCCTGTAGTACAGTTGATTGCTTGGTATGGTTCTTCTAACCATGGTCTTTGTGACTCCCACCAGATGACTGGGTGAAATTATGTAAAAGTGAGGTGCTTGTGGCTTCCCAAGAGGATTGGATAGCTTGTGAGTAATGTAACTAAGGTACATGTCACCCTTGTGGAGGTGGGACCATGCAAATAAGGTGTATTTGCATGCAATAAGTGTACCCTAATGTGAGGATTGGTCAGTTTTATCATTTTGCTAAGCTTAAAATGAACTTTCCCAGAGGCAGAAGGAGGACTCTCATTGCCCTTAAGAGAGAAGAAGCTGTAGGGGACTGCAGGATATCCTTGTACCCGAATTCCGGCACTGAGATGGCACAGCAGAGAACAGAACCAAGAGACAAGCTCAAGCAGAGCAGCAGGCTTGCTGGGCCATGAAGCAAGAAAACTGAGTGCCTTTGGGCAGGATGCTTGCTGGCAGAGTAGGGTGCATCTATTGGCAGAGCTAAAAGAGCTCTGTAATACATGTCTGAGCAGGACAGAAGCCAGGCTGAAGGGTGAAGGGCTGAAAAGAAGCATGCTTTCAGGTATGGCCAGGGGAAGGTGTCCTGATGGAGGACACCTGAGCATTCCTGAACCTGAATTGTAATCTGTTACTTCCGTGATTAACCTCACAATTGTGAGTATTGTGTATGAGTTCTGTGTGGCCGTTGCAACCAATTATTGAACCCAGCAGAGAAGTACAGAGTGCCATGGGAGGGATGGCTGGTATCAGAATTAATGAAAAGGTTGGAGGGTGGTAGAATGTCTGACTCCGCTTCATAGGAATCAGCCTTGGGCTGCTGATGGTGATTTTGTCTCCCCTCATGAAGTTAGAGGAGGTCAGAGAATGCCGCTTTTTAGATGGTAAAGCAATGTGGAATCATGCTGACTCCTTTTTGCACACAAGACAATTTAAAATGCAACTCTACATGTCTCTCTCTAAAAGGAATAAGCAGAAAAGACCTGTATGAATTCCATGAGGTTTTGAGCAGAATCAAAGCACAGCCCTCCTCTAAGGCTTAGATTCTAGATTACTGAGCTTTTTAATGCTACAGTGCCATCAGTGCCACCAGCTCCAGGACAGGGAAGTTGAGAGCTAACAACTGCCTTCAGCCTCTATAGTCAGAAAGGACTAGGAATAAAGAACTGGAGTGGACACCAAGGAGTCCCCAGAGCATCCTTCAACCGATGCAATCCAAAGGAAGCATTCCAAACAAACTCGGGACATCCCACTTTCCTTAGGATGAATTCTTCTCCAACTCTGATCTCAGGGATGATTTCAGAGGGGTAAGACTCAGGCTTGCAGAACAGATACCACCATGAGCCAGTTGCTGCCATGTCTAAAATCTATGCTTAGGTACAAGAGGGACCCGCAGCTTAGCTGTGGCATTGATGTCACTGGCACAGCTGCCCTTGTAGGGTTACCCTGGCCCTCTTTTTG